TTCTGTAACTGCTGAATTCTGGGCAATCACCACAGCAGGGGCAGGTTCGCTACAGAAAGCCATGCAGAATTTCCACTGCAGTTTTTAAAAAAAAGGGTACGGAAACATGCTACTTGGTACTGCATACAAGTGTCCTACCATACAACCCTGAAGAAAAACCACATTGCCAAGTATTTGAACTTCCTCCCAGCTGACTTAGCAAAGCTCCAGTGACTTTCTTAAGATGCAGAAGAGTGCTGATATTTTAACAGAGTCTCCATCCCAGGAACCTCAATGCTGGGAGAGCAGAGAAGCCAGGAGCTAGACCTCTTAGCTTTCTCTCCCACAGACCTACTATCGTAACTGAGGTGGGAGAAAACATTGCTTAGTCAATGAGGTTACACAGATTTCACCAAGTTTTTAATTATGCTCCTCCAGAACACTTTTTGTTCTGCTTGCAGGTTGAATCGCGCTGTGCTATGTGAACACAGACAAGTGTAGCTTCCTTCCCATCGGCAACCACACCAGACTCCTGGATTTCAGATCAATTTCAGACACTCTAAAGAATAAATATTTACCTTCTAGACCAACTTTTCAGCTGCTCAAGGATAAAGTCAGCTCTACCAGGACTGGCTTAGAGGCAATGTAGATAAGAGATAATTTCCTTCCTCAGCATGAATCACTCCTCCGTTCTCTCTATTAGAGTCTCCTTCCACTAGCAAGGGAAGCGAGAGACACGAACCAAAGGCTAGACATCAGTGGGAACAAGTTAAACCAAAATACGTACAACCACCTGGGCAGTTCCCCTCTGCCAACAGTACATGAAAATTCTGCGTGAGCATCTGACTCCTTCCCACTAGGTTTGAATGTGATTAAGTTTTTTTAAAGAAGGCAAACATCAGTTACAACACCATCAGAACAGTCTTTTTTAAATGCAATCTCTTTCAAGGAAAAATCAAACTCGGTACTTTTCCAGCTGAAAGACAACTCCTGATTCTGCCACAGTAATAGGAGCCAAGTCCTAATTCTGAGCACAGCGTCTTAAGTGCCAGGACACTGCAAAGATGCAAGCGGTAAAAAGGCATCACTTCAACACAGAATTTGAGAATCCTCAAAAAAAAAAAAAAAAAGGCAGGAAGGTGAAGGTACAAGAACAAGTCTGAAGCCCCACCACACCATGCAACTCGGATTTCCTTACAAATCACCACCACCCAGCAGACAGAAGTGCAGACCTCTGATCTCACTGTATGTAACATTTCTTACCTACTCAGTCCTCTTCACTGCTCATTAGGAAATTCAAGCAATTGTACTATCTGGGTTTGTACTAATTTACCAACCGACCAATCCTCAATCCAAGCCACGTTTTCACTCCAGGATGTCGCAGCCAGCAAGGCTAAAGAGGCCTTGCAGGAATTCCCACTAGTATCTAGTTTCAAGGGGCTCCACAGTGGTCGCTTAAAAACCTCCACAGAAGAAAATCTGGCCTGTGGGTTACTATCCCAGAAAGGGGCTGGGATTCAAGGGGGTAGAAGGAGCCTCCCACATGTCTTGGGGTTTATTTAGCATATGGCAGACAGCCAGATAAATTCCAGGTCGATGTTAGTGAAGAGATACTGCAGGATTTCCAGCTCAGACTGCCGTTTTACAATGTACCAGCCCTGGTAGCGAAACTAGGTAAAGGTTTCCTTCCCAGCTCCTGTTCCCATCTCTGTACTGCAATTTGCCACCCTCCTAGCACAACTCTGTGGAGCTGTCTTGCAAACAATGAGCAAGTGGTAGGGGATGGCAGGATTCCTTAACCTGGGCTTACCACGGCAGCCAGCAAACAGCAGCTCCACAGCCTCAAGCTCAGGACTGGGTGACACACTAAGCCCTAAAGTAGGTTCTGGACCAATGTAGTCTCCCACCTGCATAGCAGATCCTATCATCTCCTTTCCCAAGACGAGCTGAGACCCTCAAGCACAGCCTGTGCCTGCTGACTCTGTAGTCCCCAGCAGCCACCTCTGAGAACTGTCAAGAAAAGAAAGATTATACCAAACTTGAAGAGATCTTTTTTCTTAAATCTTACAACAAAAACCAGGGAGTTGAGACAGAGCCTGCCTGAAATACTATCACAAGTAATCCCCTGTGTCCTCCAGCATCTCTGCAGAAACTGTGCCCATACTTCTCTGGCCACAGCAAGAGTCTTCAGAAGAGGGGTAGGAGGATGCTGAAGTGATGACAACCGCTCTCCCAAGCTTCTAACGGAGGCTCTGCAAGCAGCTGCTGAAACATATTAGGATTAATATACTAAATACCTACCTCTATTACATTGAAACCTAGAAAGCTGGTAGACTTGCACTGCCCTCTAAAACAAGAGATGTTAACAGGACATCCTGCTAAGTTTTTTTCTTTTGTGGGGTTTTTCTGTGTCTCCCCCCCCCGCAATTACTGCTATGCAACACACAAAGGTAACCTACTCCTGCCCCTGAAGCAGACACAGCACCTGGGTACTGGGAGTAAACTTAGGCCATCAAATGTAATACACTATGAACTACAAAGCCATTTACAAGTCATGAATTTGGGATCACCCTCCCACACCACAGTGGTTAAACACGCTCACTCCTCAGACAGGAAAGGGGACAAATTGGCAAACCGATTTTCAGAAGTGCTGAGCTCCTACAAACCGAATTCAGTAGCACTCCAGATGGACAACAATTACGGGACTGGGTGGGGTGGTCATCAACAACTCGAGTCTCTCAACAGGGCCATGTAGATCTGTGAATAAGCCCAGGTATGACACTTCCAATTCTAAACAAACCCCTAGGAAATGCTACCTGGAAAAGTCACTACTCCAAACACTAGTTTATCTTGGCTATGGACAAACATTTGGCTGCTGGTAAGTTTTCACTACCTGCTTACAGGTATCTTAACACACTTTCACCACATGTCATTTCCCTGCTCAGCAGTCACCAAAAAGCCACCCACCATCACCAGGGTCAGAAGCAGCAGAGGCACTAAGGTCCTCTGTCCTGAGCACAACTCTTACTACAACAGAAACACAATTTTGATGTTTACAGCAACAGATTCCTAACCTTCACAGTTGCAAAGAAAAACTCAAAAGACCTCAGGTAAACAAAAATACCAAGCGCATCAAGCTTTGGAGACAACACTTCAAGAGCTATCAGCTGTTAAATGCATCATTAAGTAGGTGCTGATGTTCCCCAACTACTATCCCAACACCAACCAGGCTCTGTTGGAGTTGTCACCAGGCAACTTCACACACAAACTCCTCTGCTCTGGAGAGGAACATCAGCTGACCCTGCGACTTAGTCCAGGAGGAAGGAGGTCCTGGTCCTAAAAGCAAGGCTGACAAAGCCTGCAGCCTAGAAACAAACTCTTCTGCAAGTGGCCTTTACCTGGGCATGGGTCTTATTCCACCACCCAGCTTCAGTGACCTGCTTAAGTTGCTGCCAGCGGCACCGAACCATTATTTCAGACTCAACATCTCCGAGAAAAATCCAGGGACATGCGCAGTGCCCTTCTGAAGGGCTTATCACGTGGTGAGCTCAGTGAGACCCTGAAGCACTTCACTTCCTAACCAAGTACAATCTGAACAGCTTATGTATCCACTGCGTAAATCTCTCCCAAGACAAGACATCTTACATGCGTAGTATTCATTGCTTCAAGGTGCTGTGCCACATAAATACATCCCTTCCATTTGCAAGACAAGGGTGATCTCCTTCTGTAACACATGGACAGATTCCGGTTATTCTGATTTGCTGTAGTTTGACCAGTTCACGCAACCACCTCAGCACTGAAAGAAAGATTGAGGGACCCAGGACTTCCCGGGTGCCAGTCTTGCGCTTAGACCTTTATATGGCACTGCATCCGAATACAATTGTTTTAACAGAATTAGAACAGACAAATTTAATTACCAGCTGTTTCTTTATAATATCTGATAAATAAACACTAG